AAACGAAGCAAGAAATGGAAGAATCGATAACTGTTTCAACGAATTCCGTGACTGCACAGAGGGACCGCAAGGTTCAGTTCACCTGGCAAAAATGTTGGCGAAGTCGCGAAACCATTTACTAATAAGGATATTTAAATGCACGAACCTAAGAGCGGAACCGGTCACCAAGAACACTACTGCAGAACATAAAAGGCTTGAGGAAGGAAAATATGATAAACACGAAATTTGTCAGAGAAGGAATGGCACGATGCAGGGAAGCATACCCATTTAGACACTGTTGCTTCTCGCCATACGTCAGCATCATCACTCGCGCTGCCGGCTCCATCTCGCTAGGTGTATCAGGGGGCAAGAGCTGCAGTGATGGCTGGAATCTCACCACAGCAGACAACCACATACTAGACAAGAGACGCAGGTCTGAAGGTAGAACAATGCCCCGGAAGCAGAAATCAGCAATCGGGGTACGAAAGTCTATCTGATCAGCAACAGAAACATATTTGTCCGACCGGACGGTCTGTGGGAGTATGTACGACGGCTCAAGTCGGTCGCAGAGATCGGACCTATGAAAGAGAAAGTAGAGGAGCCTAGTGGGTGCGGAAAAAGCAAAACGCAACTCCAGTGTGGCCGTGGCCAGACAATCAGAAAACTGAGCGTGTCAGGGATGCTACAGCTGTCCTAGCTATTTCTCGCATCACCACCGGCACAGTCCAAAAAGAAAGCTGTAAGCATGCTACATAGAAGTAATTGTTCAAAACGCGCTTCACGATATTGCCCGTCCACTAACAATTTCATACATACAACACCGTGACACGAGGGAAATTTCAGAAATATGAATCAAAAACTCGATGGCGTGCAAAACACTAGTTGTAAGGATGAGGAATACTAAAGTAAACAAGTTCCTCTCAATGTGCCCCAGGTTGGTGCGTGGTGTTTCCATAAATACTAATTTGCAAAAAATTATTGTGCGCAGGCCGTATGATTCAGCGTAAAATGTGCACCTGGTGAAAAAGTACTCAGCAAACAGACGGTATATACACTCAGCAGATAAAGGCGTGACGACTATCGTGAAATACAGGGGGTTGAAAAGCACTATTATAAACTAGGCGAGAGGATCATAGTCTTCGAAGTACATACATATTCCCAAAGTGAAAGAGGAAAAAAATTCTGCAGGGCAAAATCGCAGTGCGTTTTCATCCGCAAGGAAAAGCTGAATCTTCGATAGGGCGTCTTAAACGTTTCGAAGTAGAACGCAGACACAGATCAAAAAGAATTATCCCTGGTGGCCGTTTATGGGAGTACCAGAATCCACATATTTGTAGTAGATTGGTAAATGGTGCACAAACTCGTACTTTGATTTGTGAACTGCGAGTCTGCCACTCACTAGTGCTCACTAATCTTTAAATGATGTCGAATCTAAATTAATATCCCCCCGTAGTTTGTGCTTAGATGAGGAGTTCGATAATGGCAAAAGAGAACCAGAAGGTAGACATCTAATCTCACGCCTGCACCGCTAAACCTATCCTGTCGAGGAACAAATTACAATTTTCATAAGGCTGATAAAAACTACCCACGTCTGCGGCCCAGCTACGCTTTTCAGGACTGCCATCTCTTAAATAATATCGTATTAGAAAGATGATACCTCGGCCGTTCGCGACTGTTTGTTGGATAGCGGTTGCCGAAATGGCTTAAATTATTGTTTGAGATGTTTGATTCAGCGTCCAATGTATCCAGTCGAGGTACAAATCATGAGCCCATCCTCTTCACTGGCCATTTCTGTGTACCAGTTCCAAACGGAAAGAACAACAAATAGTCCGGCCAATGTGCTGAATGTCCTTCCATCATTATGCCCGGTGCTTTTACAGACTAGTTTTTAGCACCTCTAAGTACCGACATTCTTAAGGTGTATACCAGTCATAGAGAAACCTCTACGCTCGTGCCGTACAAGATGACATACGGTTTTTACGGAGGAGTCCTCAGAAGACGATCAGCAGTTTGAAATGGACAGAAACAGCCGGGATTTTCAAATGCGCCAAGATACTGCCGTCATTGAAACCGTTGCCTTTTCCGTCGGAGAAGTAGGACGCGTCCTCAGTCAAATAAAACCAGACAAGTCTCCTGGACCCGACGGAATTCCTGGTCTGATACTTAAGGAGCTATCAAAGGAGCTGGCGAAGCCTCTTTCGACGCTCTTTGAGCTGTCAATGAGAACAGGAAGGCTGCCATCACAGTGGAAGACAGCTAACCTCGCTCCCTTACATAAAGGCGGTAGCAGGATGGCAGCAAGCTGTTTCAGGCCTATTAGCCTAACCTGCCTCTCGTGCAAAACGATGGAAGCTCTATTAAAGAGTGCCATACAGCAATTTTGTGAAGAAAATAACCTCTTGCAGGATTTCCAGCATGGCTTCCGGAGAGGACGTTCTTGCCTCTCAAATCTGCTAGCTTGGCTGGAGATCTGGACCAGGGCCCTAGAAGAGGGTTTTGAAGTTGATGTCGTGTACATCGATTTTCGCAAAGCCTTCGATACTGTCCCGCACCAACGCCTTCTTCACAAATTGAGCGCCATCGGCATCCGGGGAGATCTTCTGAACAGGATAGGGGCGTTTCTGGTTGGTCGGAAACAACGTGTTTGCATCGGTGATGATATGTCAGAATGGGTGAGCGTGACCAGTGGTGTGCCTCAAGGCTCAGTTCTGGGACCATTGCTATTCCTCCTTTATGTTAATGACAGCCTTCAGGAACTCGATTGTGGCAAAATAATGTTTGCTGACGACGTTAAGCTCTGGCAAGTCATTAAGAGTCCTAACGACCAGAGATCCCTCCAAGACAATCTTCATCGACTGCAAGCGTGGTCGGAGAAATGGCTTCTAGACTTCAATGTGCAGAAGTGTGCCGTCCTTCATCTGCGTCCAACTAACTCTCATCCTCCATCTGCGTCCAACTAACTCTCATTCAAATCAGAGCCTGAGGACATATCATCTGAAAGATATAAGACTCCCCGCAGAATCTTCACAGAAGGATCTCGGGGTTTGGATACAGAACAATTTGAAACCAACATTGCAGTGCCACAAGGCTGCAAAAAACGCGATGGGAGTGCTGCATGCAATCAAAAGGGCGTTCGTTACCTTTGACCAAGACCTTTTTGGGAGAGTTTACGGCACCTTCGTTCGGCCCCACTTAGAATATGGCATACAAGCATGGCGGCCATGGCTTGTAAAGGACAAAGCATGCCTCGAACGGGTGCAACGTAGGGCAACAAAGATGGTAAACGGTCTAAGAAACCAATCCTACACGGACAGACTGAATTGCCTTAATCTATTCCCTCTGTGTTACAGGCAGCAAAGAGGTGATCTAATCCTGATTTTCAAGATAATAAATGGCCTTGAGCATGGACTTAACTTTGAGGACATGTTCCAGTGGCACCTTTCACCCAATCTTCGTGGCCACTCGATGAAGCTACGGACAACAATGTCCAGGCTGAACCTTCGTTCTGAATTTTTCACGCAAAGGGTAGTGGAGAAATGGAACGATCTCCCTCAGTCAGTCGTGGAGGCGACATCCCTGCAACTCTTCAAGAAACGCTTGGATGATTATTTGTGTCCCCTGTTTTCCCTCGACAGTCTGAATCTGAGCTAAACACCCCGGTTCCCCACATATTTTTTCTCTGTGACAATGCTACTCAAATGAATCAAGTACTATGTATATAGCGAACATTTTCATTGTTACTGTACAGTTATTTCTAACGAGTTGACATGTTATCAATAGGGTTTTCAAAGGCTTTACCTATCATCCTTATCAAATAAACTGAAATAAACTGAATCTGAATGACGAGTTGGGACCGCCTCTTATAATCCCCATCATATTGTACAGAGTCGTTATTCCTTGATAAGTATTCAGGGGTCAAATCAAGTAAAGTTAATGGGCAATCAACTCGAGTCGTTTAGATGCAATACGTAGAACTTACTGTAAACCGAAATTTCGACAAAATTTTCTCCTGACTTCAA